TAATCCCCAATATTGAAAATAAAAAGTCTGCAGTAGGTTCATGCCCTCTGCTTGGGTCCTTTCCCCATGAGGGTTTAAACTTTCATTCATGTCCTGGAAATGTTCCAACAGCCCTCCCTTGGCTGATTTTTTTACTCCTCAGTCAGGCACATGCTAGCATGGAGGTTTTCCCAAACCTGGAATCTAAAGAAATCCTCATGCTACCCCAGGCGCGATCTGGTGTCACCTTTTAAATTAAAATGCTTTTTAAAGAAAAAAAATTAAATTAAAGTCCTGGCACTCGGCAGTTTGTCTTCTCTGATTGTGGAGATTACAAGCAGTTATGATGCCGCGTGGAAGCCGAAGCCGCACTTCCCGGGTGACTCCTCCGGCTAGCCGGGCCCCTCAGATGAGGCCTGCTCCCAGAAGAGCACCTGCAGCTCAGCCTCCAGCAGCAGCTGCACCATCTGCAGTTGGCTCACCTGCTGCTGCCCCCCCCCCCCCCCGCAGCCAGGCCTGATGGCCCAGATGGCTACCACTGCAGCCGGAGTGGCTGTGGGCTCTGCAGTGGGGCACACCCTGGGTCACGCCATCACTGGGGACTTTAGCGGAGGTGGAAATGCTGAGCCTGCAAAGCCTGACATCACTTACCAGGAGCCTCAGGGAGCCCAGCTGCAGAGCCAGCAGTCTTTTGGACCTTGCTCTCTAGAGATCAAGCAGTTCCTGGAGTGTGCCCAGAACCAGAGTGATGTCAAGCTCTGTGAGGGCTTCAACGAGGTGCTGCTGCAGTGCAGGATTGCAAATGGTCTAATCTAATCAAGAAGTTCAAGCTGAAGAAATGTAAACTTGGTTCTGTAGTATAAGTGTGGACCTTATTCTAACAGCTCCATTGCTTCGGAATGGCCATGAAAGAGTTTTAACTATAGGTGTTTACTGAGGCTTGTAGTGTTCGTTACTGGGCAAATGTTTGGCCTCCTTGAACTTAACTGTATGGTGATTGAGTTAAAAACAATAAATTGGTTTATTCTGAAAAAAAAAAAAAAGTCCTGGCACTCAGGCTTCTCTGAGAAGTCTGGTTTTAATTTTCTGCTTGTTTACAGTGTGCACTCCAACTGGAATATGAGCTTTATGGGTGGTGGGGAGTTGGGGTAGGGGGTGGAGGTGGGGAAGGGATCTTGACTCTCTTCTTCCCAGTACTACCCCAATGCCCAGAATAGTGCTTCTCAGTGAGGACCGTTTTCCCTCAGGGGACATTTTGCAGTGTCTGAAGACATTTTTGTTTGTCATGACTGAAGCTAGGGTATCACTGGCATCTTGTGGGCAGAGGCCGGGGATGCTGTCAAATGACGCATAGCACAAGCTCCTCCCAACCCATACCCAGGTATCCTTGGGCCCCGAATATTAAGATATTGAGGCTTGAATTCAGGAACAGCCCCCCGGCCCCCCCCCACCCCCCCCCCCCCCCCCCGTCCTGGAGTAACGCCCAGCACAAAGAGGAAATTTGTCGCCCTCTTCTGGCTTCTGTACATAACTGCATTCACATGCTTACACCCACACATAGATTACATATGCATTCACAGAATTTTCTATTTTTGTGGGGAATATCATTATATTTTGATATGGCTTGCATTCATAATAATGATTCTTCAAATCCAAGGATGTGGTATGTGTTTCTATTCTTTAGTCCTTTCCAATGTCTTCCATTATGTTTTATAAATTTTATTATGGAGGTCTTTCACTTCTTTAGTTCTAGAATTTTTTTTTTTTTTGGTAGCTACTTAAAGTTCGTTTTTTGATAGAGGGGTGATATTGGCTTGGTGGCAGGAGTCGCAGCGCCCTGCAGCATGTGAGCCTCACCATGTTAGGCATGTAGATGGTTTTGAGCCTAAAGCTCGAATTTAACTCATTCACACTCCCATGTTGGTGACATCATGCTTTACAATGGACTGGTTGGAGTTGGGGTGCATGTGACATGGACGGTGATTCCTTTCTGTATTTGTATTTTGTTATGATTGGGCACTGTGGTCCCCACGGGATCTTCTTCAGTTTTATCAAGGTAATTTGGTGTGGGAAGAAGATACTGGAGGATCGATCTTAGCCACCATCTTGTTCTCCCTCCGTTTGCCTTCCTTCTGATTGTGCTACATGGTTAAGAACCATGTGTGTTACCACTTCTCTCTTACTTTACTCTCTGACCCCGCTACTCCTCCACGCTGCAGTCTCTTTAACTCAAGATTGTCATTCTTGTTGTCTACTGCCTCTGGATGACACAGCATGACTTCCTTACCAAATGGAGTCACTGCTCTGGGCTGCCCTGAGGTAGCTATCTAAAGTCTACTACATTTAAATCACATCTTGATCCCTAAGGAGCGAAGTGCAGACATACGCCTGGAAGGCAGTCTTAAAGCTTTCGTGAGTACTCTTGCAGAGACTGTCTGGTTCCTAAAACGATAGTGAACATCAAGCATTAGCGAGCACCACCCACAGCGCAATGTGCCAAGTGTTTTGAAAGGACTGTGAGTCCAGCTTTATTTTAGGGCACAAGACAAGCTATGAATTCAGCGTTGTTTTTACTGGGTCTGACTGTTCAGGATTTCTGGCAGTCACTGTTGGCCATGTGTGCTTCCCTTGGTGTTCTGGGAGTCAGACTTTTTTTGCTATTGTGACAAATACCTGGAAGAACAAATTTAAAATGGGGTAAATTTATATTTGGCACATTTAAGGGTTTTTAATTGCTCTTTTCTTTTGAGATGAGTGCTCATGTAGCCCAGGCTGGCCTCTGATTTGCCATGTAGCTGAGGATGCCCTTAAATTTTTGATTCTTCTGCCTCTACTTTCTGAGTGCTGAGAGTACTATTGTATGCCACTAATTCCTGGCATTAAGTAGTGCTGAGGATTGAATCTAGGACCTTGTGCATGCTAGGTAGTATCTCCAGCCTTATTTCAGAGGTCTTAGTTGATGGTTGGCTTACTCTGTGCTGTGACGAAGCAGAATGTCATGGTGGGAGGATCTGACAGAGCAAAGGTGCTCACCTTGTAGCAGCTGGGCAGCCGAGAGACATAGTCAGGAATGGGAAAGACGTCGCCTTCGAGGATGTGTCCTTAGTGACCCACTGACCAAGCCCCATCTTTGTGTAGTTGATTGATGAAGTTACTGCCCACGAACCAACCACCTCTCAATGATGTCATCAGCTGAGGACCAATCCCACAGCATATGAACATTTGGGAGGAAACTTGACAGCCAAATTATAACGGAGTCACACCAGTAACGTGGTGTTCATAACATTGGTGGTTATAAAATTATCCTCTAGGAACTGAGCATGGGGCAACATGTCTGTCATTCCATCTACTCTGTAGGATAGTGAGTTCATGCCCAGCCTGGGCTACTTAGTAAGATCCTGTTTCAAAATCCAAAAAGAAGAGTCTGGGGAGATGGTTTAGTGAATAGTAATAGGACTTGACCTGAAAGCAAGAAGACCGAAGTTCAAATCTCCAGCACCCAGTAAAAAACCAGCCTAGATGAACCAATAAGGTTCAGGTTTAGTGAGAGATCCTGTCTCCAAAAATAAGGCAGAGGGCTTGCAGGCTGGCTTAGTAGGTCAAAACACTTGCAGCACAATTTTCACAACCTGAGTTTGATCCCTGGAACATACTAAAACCAGTGTGGTAGCTAGCATCTGTGATACTAGCACTCCTGAGGTGAAATGGGAGGCAGAGACAGGAGAATCCTCTGGAAGCTCACAGGCTAGCCTGGAGTACATAGAGTAGGAGAAAGGATAAGCGAAACCCTGCCTCAAAAAGATGGAAGGAAAGAATCAATTTCTGAAAGTTCCCCTTTGGCTTCCATATGTGTGCTGCAGCCTGGGTGCACCCCCACCCTCACCTCACCCCCAGTGTGGAGAAGGATAAAGACTCTTAACATCTACTTCTGGTCTCCACACGCACAAGTGCATGCACCTATATACACACATGTACGTATACTCCACAGTAAATTATACTAGAAAAAAACTGAACCAAAATCTCTCTCTAAAGCCAAATCAGCTGCTCATCATTTTGCTGTGTGGCTGGTGTTATTTACAAAAGTATTTTCTTAGTATATGATCTATTTTTATCGCACGTTCATTGGTGTTTTGCCTGAATATATGTCTGTGTGTGGGTGTTGGATCCCCTGGAACTGGACTTACAGACAGGTATGAGTTGCCATGTTGGTGCTGGAAATTGAACCCAGACCTCGGGAAGAGCAGCCAGTGCTCTTAACCACTGAGCCATCTCTCCAGATACTACTTAAGTATCTTCGAACTCAATTCTTTACTTATAAAAATGAGGATAAGACCTTCACGGGGTTCTTGTGAAGTTAAGTACTGGCAACACACTTGAAACTTATCTTTCATGTAGAGTCAGGAGATTCTAGTTTGGGGCTGGAGAGATGGCTTAGCAGTTCAGACAGCACCTGCTCTTCTAGACAACCTGAGTTCAGTGCCTAGCACTCATGTAGGACAGCTCACAAACATCTGTTAACTCCAACTCTAAGGAATCCAGTGCCCTCTGCTGGCCTCCTGGGCACTGCCCTCACCTGCACAAACCAACACACACACACACACACACACACACACACACACACACACACACACACACAC